GGGAGGGAAGGGGCAGGAAGAAGACAGGCAAGCAGAAATGGGGTGGCTGTGTGTCTATGGCAGTTGTCCTGGAGTGGCACATGCTCACACTTACACGTGTGGATTTGTGACTTTACCTGCTTTACTTCAGGCCAGCTCTCAGGAACCAGAGACAGGCTCCCACTGACAGCACTGATGCATAAGCTCTGCCCAGCACAAGTATCAGCTCAAGTACTCGGAAGGTCCTCAAGTCCCAGATGCCTGGGGCTGTCACAGGGCGACTGCGCTACAGCAACACATCTAACCATCTCACACATAATCCTCTGCCTCGGTTCTGGGAACAATCCCATTCAAGACACTCCCTTTCAAAACCAACAGATCCAAACCAAGGGAGCCTTGACTAATGAGCTTACCAGGAAGTCTAAAGGAAAGGGCATTTTTGCATCAAGGACCAGCCCTTGCAAGAGCCCCCAAATGGGCAGTCACAAGGAATGTGGTGTGGCTGGGGCAGAAAGAAATCTACCATGTCTGTCAAGGACCAGACTCAATGCACCACCCATTTGCTGGAAATCAGGAGGTTACTTTTCAGTGTTCCTGCCCAACATCTGCCACTTGACCATCCTTGATTCCTCCCACTGGGCAAGCAGCTGTGATGCCTAGTGGTAGTTTTCCTCTTTATTCCATCAAAGAATGTGCTAGCAGGATATGCCACAAAAGAGGGGGTGGGTAGAATGCAGTCATAACATCTAATGCATATCTCCTACACAATTAGGAAAATGGAGGGAAGGGGCAGGGATGGAGGAGAACGATGATGCATTGTATTCATGAACTGCTTGGTTGAATGGCAGCTCCTTTGTACTACTACTTAGAGATGACTAATATAATAAAGATGCCACAAAAGTCCTGGAAATGCAAAAGGCAGCAGGTTGGTGGTCATCTCTAGCTCATAAGGAAATGTGGGATTGTAACACAAGGAGATCTCCTTGAGGTGATCCAAAAATCATAAAAGAAGAAGTTGAAGTACCACAAGGAAACTCACCACCCAACAGGTCCAAGCCCTGAAACCAGGGACCCTGAGCACCCTAACAGGGTCCCTTCCAGAAGACTCACATTTAAAATTCAGTAAATTGGCTCAATATGTTCTAGGACTGTGGGTATTAAATCAAAGAAGTCGGTGAAATCGCCTCCAAACAATAAGCTCATTCAACACTATCTTTTTTTTTTCCTTCTGACCCCATCTGGGACTTGAATACAGTTAACATGAATAAATCCTGTTGTGTAAAAACTTGAGGGAGGAAAAAAGGGGGTGGGAGATGGAAGGAAATGGCAAGATTCTCACTTGATCTAAATCAAGGCTAAGACAGTCTCCTAAACCCAAAAGGAGACCAGTATGCGAGGTAGCACTAGGAGATGGTGGTAGTAATGGTTGGCAATCCAGGTGAGGAAGGATCTAGAATCCCTTTCCCATGCTCCTTTGCATAAGGCAACCCTCCCTTCTTGCCTTGGAACCAAAGGTGGGCCCTAGAGCTAAACTTAGTCCTTCGAAAGCGAACCAGTCACAGGCCAAACCTGACGGGATATTAAGGAAGTTTCACCACAAACATACAACACCAAACAATTATTTTCTGCAGCCCCAACCTCACCTCTGCCCACAACAAAATCAAGACAACTAGAACTGCCCCTACCAGATGTTATTCTGTAAGTCTTCCAGAGCACCCTAGATGGGGGGAACCGAATTGCCTTTGGGCTTACTTGTGATTATGAAACGTGGCATGTGGCCTGTGTGCCACTCTCCTGCGTAACTCACAGGTGAACTTGACATGGGCCGACATGCTTATCATGGATGGACATTTAACAGCTATCCAACACACTGTACTTGATAAAGATACAAAGACCCAGCTTTCTAGGGACAGAGCTGGACAAAGCTCTCCTAAAGAACAGCCTGATTCAACATGAGTTTGATTTTTTAAAACAGGAGATCTAAGATCCACCAAGATCTTATAATCCCAGTAGGAATACTGAAGCAATACTTCTCAATTCATGAAAGATGGCACTCTGTCCCTAGGCCTGGCAAGGGTCCATCCCTGCCTTTGCTTTATGAGGCTCTGTCCTGCCTGGGAACAGGAGGGTCTATACCTTATATGACCTGGACAAGGTACATTATTTTTCTATATCATGGGTTCGTCCTTATCAAAATCAGTCCTAGGAAGTATAGCTAGCAAAACACCAAAAAGTCAACCATGAAAAGAATGATGGAGATTCGGGTACTCAACAACTTGCTGGAAGCTGCCAAAGGCAGCACATCAGATTCATGCATGGCTAGTTGTACAGCTTCCAGGTAGGACCCCCAGAGAGATACCCTCAAACCCCAGGCCCTCACAGGCTCATCTGCTGCCTGGCCCTGGGTGGAAATTCTGTTCCTTTTCTTCTAATGGAGAAAGGGATTTCACCATAATGATTGTGCCTACTAGAAAAGTCTCTGGTATTTGGGATTGTCAAGGGTGTGTGTGTGTGTGTGTGTGCCTCATACCAGAATTCTTCACCCTCGTATACCCTACCTGGATACAGCACCATAGATACAGTCATACCAAGATCCAGTTTCTCCTTACAGTCTGTGATGGACACAACCTTCACTTAATGAAGCCCTCATCTCATCCCATAGCACCACACAGTTAAGTGTTTTCAAAAAGATGTGTCACCAAGGTATAATTTACACATAGGAAAAAAATATCAACCCCGTAGACTGCACAGTTTTGAGAGCTATTCTTTTGTCTGTATGCTGGTACTAGGGCTTGAACTCAGGGCCTTGCATTCTCCCTTTGGTGGTGTTTTGTTTTGTTTTGTTTGCTTGTTTGTTTTTGCTCAAGGCCAGCTCACTACCATTTGAGTCACATCTCCACTCACTTTGGGCTTTTTGCTGATTCACTAGAGAAAAGAGTATCATAAACTTTTTCTTCCCAGGCTTTGAACCTTGATCCTCAGATCTCAGCTTCCTGAGTAGCTGGGATGAACAGGCATGAAGCTACCAGTAGCCAGCTCAGTTCTGAGTTTTGACAAACAGGTATAGCTGCATAACCACTATGTGGAGCCCTTGTATCATGCCAGAATATCCTTACTGCCTCTTTGTGAGCCACCCCTCGCTTCCCCAAGCCCAATCCCAACTCCCACAGAACGGATTTGTTTTCCTTCCACTATAGGTAATTTTGCCTTGTGTAGAAAGTTGTAGAGATGAACTCATCCCATATAGGCTCCTTTCACTTAGCATCCTACTGTGACTCATCCACGGTTCGTTAAGATCCGTTTGGTTTTAGCCTTGGACTTTCACTTTCTTCTTAAAGAAACTAAATGACAAGTTCTGGCTCACTTTTGCAATGAAGAAATCAAATTCTTAACTTAGAGGCCATTTAACCAAGAGAATGTTTGGGGATAGGGTGACCCGCCAGCTGAGTTTGGCCATAATTGAAGAGTTTGTGGGGATGTGGGACGTCTACTGGTAAACCCAGGGAAGTCCCAGAAAAACCAGTGTGGTTGGTGACTAGACCTGGGAAGCTGCCTCCAAGGATCACAGTTCACCCAGGCACACAGCAGGGTGCTTGCTCCAGCTAACAATCCACTCTCCTATGTCAGTTTAATCCCTGGCAGAAGGCCCACTTGCAGTCTTCTGAGGCTGAGCTGCCCTGGAAGTCCCTGAGAGGCCTCAAGGAAGGAGCTGAGCTGAGAGCTGTCCAGCTGGAAATCAGCAGAGCAGGGATGGCATTCCCCATGGTACTTAGCTCCCAACAGGAACTCTGACACCAACATGCCCTCCTCATTCTGCGTTCGCACCAATCCAGTACACTGTGTCCAGGGTATACAGAATCCCATCTTCCACTCAGTGGAGGTGGGAGATGTTGGTTTTGAGACTAAGTAAGGGAAAAATGAGAACCAAGTGAAAGAGATTGAGTAGAATTCAAAGCATTCTTAATCTCTCCTATATAAACATACTTAGGCTCCATATATAAGGCTGAAAAGCAATTCTTTGACTATCCCCTCCAGCTAGCACAGAAGTGTATGGTAACTCTGGGAAGTATGGATGCCTGAGAAATAGCTAAGGAGTCCCAACTCTGAGCCTCCAGAAACTTTGAATAATACATGATGTAACCAGGCACTGATGGCTCATGCCTGTAATCCTAGCTTCTTTGGAGGTTTAGGTGTGAGGATCACAGTTCAAAACCAACCAGGGCAAGAAAGTCCATGAGACCCTTATCCCCAATTAACTAGCAGAAAGCTGGAAGTAGAGGGATGACTCAGGTGTAGAGTACCTGCCTCGAGAGGAAAAGCCAAGAGAGAACACAAGGCTCTGAGTTTAAGTCCTAGTTCCAGCACACACACACACACACACACACACACACACACACACACACACACACATGGGGCACAAGTGATTTATTCCTATAGGCCTATTCAGAAGACTAAAATCTGAGGATCACGGTTTGAGGCCAACCCAGGCAGGAAAGTCTATGAAACTCTTATCTCTAATTAACTATCCCAAAAGCCAGGAGTGGAATTATGGCTCAAGTGGTACAGCCTGCATTAAGCATAAGAGCTCAGGGATAGTGCCTCAAGCCCTGAGTTCAAGCCTAGGACTAACACCCTCCCTCACAGACACACAGACACAGACAAACCTACCATAAGTGAAGATTCCCACTTCTGGGGCAGTTCTATATCCCAGAGCTTGCAGTGTAGCTGTGTCAACTTAGCATTCTCCTTCTCAAAATATTTCCCAGTAGCTCTTAGGCATTATTCTGTCAATGGGCCTAGGAGATTAGTAATCAAAGAAGGAAACAAAGCTCCCGGAAAGATTAACTGATTTGAACAAAGTCACACAGCAAGTTAGTGGCAAAAGCTAGATTAGAAGCTTGGGCCTCCGAGTGCCCAGGCCAGAGCCCAGCTCCACGGTATGAGCTGAGCCTGGTGTGTGCCCTCAGGAGCCTAGAAGCTAGGTGAGCTGCTGCAGAGGGCTCAGACAGGCTCATACTCACAAGCAGAGACCTGCAGGATCCTTCTCTGCATCACCAGACAGCAACACCCCTGTGCTGGAACAGACAGAGAGAAGGCTCAAGTCGGAGGAGCCAAGGGCAGCCATGGGGCGGGGCGGGGCGGGGCGTGGGGTGATGAGGTGGCGGTGGGGCTGGCTTCCATCTCCACTTCTAGGATTGGCCTTGGAGAGTTTGGGTCCTTTCCCTTTGGGAATCAGGTCTGCTCTTGAAGGTCAGGGAATGGGTCAGTAAGTGTTCAGAACTCATTCATTCACTAGTTTACCAGTCATGCCCAAGACCCCTATTGTGTGTCTGGCAATGTGTCACAGGCTGAGGAAGGTCACTTCAGGGGTAAGACAAAGTCCCTGTCTTGATGGAGGTCACTCTACAGGGGACACAGATGTACACCCATAAATAGAAGACACTGTGGCATTCACTCCAAAAATATGTATTGAGTACCTTCAATGAGACCAGCACTGATGGGGCCCTACCACAAACTGCAAGGAGCCATGGGAAGCCAGGCTTTGTAAAAGAAGAGACATTGAGGCTAGGTTCTGAAGATTGAGGAGCATTTAACTGAGCAGCTAATCCCTTCCTGGTAGATGGAACTCTGATGAAACTCAGGAGGCTGAGAGCTGAGGATTGTAGTTCAAAGCCAACCCAGTCAGGAAAGTCCCTGAGCTTCTTATCTCCAATTAACCACTAAAAAGCCAGAAGTAATGATGTGGCTTGTATGGTAGAGGGCTAGCCTTGAGAGAAAAAGCTAAAGGATAGCAGCCAGACTCTGAGTTCAAACCTTAGTACTGGCATGTGCCCCCCCCCCCCCCACACACACAATGTGTGTGACACAGCCTTAAGTATTTCTTTCTAAATAAATTCTTCAATAGGAATTCTGTTTAAAAACTCACATGGCCAGCATACAGTGTCCTGTTGCTGACCCTCTGTCTGTTTTCTAACCGCCATGAGCTCAGCTGACCTGTCTCTCAAATGGAATGGATCACTCTGTGCTTCAGACCACTATCTTCGACACAGTGACACACAAGTCCTTCAGAAGCAAATTCCTCACATAGCCCTTGGCATTCTCTTTCCCACTGCGACTCTCCAACTCCCAACAGGAAATTGGTTTTATTTATAAGACCCACAATCCTAAACTGACCCTTGCTGGGTGAACTTCCCCATGCTCCCTAGCTCCTCTCCAGCTACATTCTCCCTCTCAAAAAGTCCTCAGACCACAGAGCAACTTAGCATAGACGACTGGTTGGAGAGTCATGTGGAGAAATACCAGAGGGCTGTTTTCCACATGGGGAAACTGAGGACTGGGAGGCCCACAGAAGCAGAGCACAAGTGTGTCTATATTCTCAACTATGACAGTGTGCCTCTCCTTCTTTTCTCAAAGAACATACCATCCTCCCTAGCCGGGGCAGGGGTGGAGGGGGTGGCTGGTCTCACTCCCCTGAAGGACAGAAGCCTTTAGAGGAACATTTCCTGTCATTAAAGGGATTTGGAAGAAAGCTGGCACAGCTTCCTCAGCTTTGAAGCTCCCTGGCCCTTCCTGGCCCTTTAATTGTGCTGGAAGCAGTCCAATTCTCAGAGTATCTCCCCCTCTCCTTCTGGAGAGAGGAAGGGCCTGACTCCTCCACCCCCTGGTCTAGCCTGACCCCTCAAACTTTCTGTTCCAAAATTCACTGGCTCAGCATCCAGGGCTCCCATACTGAGAGTCTCAAAGTCAAGAGGGCACGGGTCAAGTGCAATGAGCAAACCCTAGCTTAGGATTGTGAAGCTTACATCGAGACTCTTCTCAAGCCTCATTTTCATTGCATTTTTTTTCTTTTTTTTTTTTTATTGTAAAGATACTATACAGAGGGTTACAGTTACATGAGTGAGGTAATGAGTACACTTCCTCTTGAACATTGTTACCCCCTCCATTGTTTTCTCCCTACTTTTCATAGCATTTTAAAGCCTATAATAGCTGAAGGCGAATTACATCAGATTTCAGCAGGCATCATAAGATTTGGTTAAACACATCAGGTAAGGCAGGTGAGTCTATAATTCCAATTGGATCTTTAGATCCATGGGTTTTGCATGCTCAGATCAAACAAGCCCCGAGCCCTCATTTGGGGAGAGGGGGGACAGTTGCTGATGTGAACCAGGCAATTAGGTCTACTTGGGTTGCCTCTGTATCAAACATGTACAGACTGTTTTCTTGTCATTATGTCCCAAGCAATTTAGTGTAACAACTATTTACACTGTATTAGTCAAGTCATTGAGATGTGATTTAAAGTATACAGTAGAATTTGAGTAGGTTATATGCAAATTGGACACTAGTTTCTGTAAGAGACTTGCACATCCTCAGGTTTTGGTATTCCTGGGTACCCTAGATCAACTCTTTCCAGATCCCAATTCTATTTTAATTTTTTTTATTTTGACATTTCATTTAAAGGACTTATGGCTTCAACCTTGGCTGCACATACAATATCACCTGGAAACCTTTTTAAAACTACAAAATGCAAGCTATACTCTAATAATTACATTAGAATATCCACTGGAGCCCATATATTTATGCCTCACCCTCACGTCCACAATTTTTAAAGCTGTCTGACTGATTCCATGTACAGCATGGTAAAGTTAAGAAACACTACAACCAGCTATGGTCAAGCACATCTCTAATTCTAGCATTTAAGCAGTGAAGGCAGGCAGAAAGATGTCAAGTATGGGGCCAGCCTGAGCTACATAGAAAGTTCCAAGCCAGTGTTAACTACACTATGGCAGCCTGTCTCAAGAGAAAAAGCACTATTGTTTAGGTAAAGCTTCACTAGGTACAACCCCTAGCTCCAAAGCATGGAAAAAGATTATTCCTGAAAGAAGAATGGTATCAATCTACCACTTCCTCTTAATTCCTTTTTCTTGTTTTGGATCTTCCCTGATCACCAGTTTCAGGAATTCCACACAGGCTTTCAGGCATTTTCCTGACTCAACTCTTCAAAGTCCCTTTCTACATCCAAATGCCCAGAACTAGGTGAAGAAGCAGGCAGTTAGGCTCAGAAAACAAACAACATGGGAAAAGAAGGATTATATGTCCAACCAGTGACTCTCTCTCTAAATATTTCAGTGAGACCTACTGGGATCCAAATGTGATGCAAGCTCAGGAAGCTTTGGAATCTGGTTCCAAGCGCAATCCACAGATAGTAGGTCAGTCACACTTGGCCCCAGTCTACTCGCCAGCTGGAGGAGCAATAGGAACCAAAATCCTTGACCACATGGAGTGAGTTCAGCCAATGGGTTCATGTACAGTAACACAGGATGGGCCTAGAATGATCTAGATAAGTAAACACACAAAACCTTTGCAAGGCACCCTGTAGGCCTTGGCACCATACCCTGGGCTCTTCTAAGGGTCTTATTGCTTGTGTAACATGACAGAGGTTCACTTATAAGACACAGCAACTTCATCACTATTTTATAATGGCAACTTTCATAAAAGTTTCATCCCTCGTGGAAGGGAGCCCCTCCCTCATACTCCCACACCCCGATTTTTGCTTGAAAAAGCCTTGACTATCTCGCAGAAGGTTTGGTAAAGGGCTAGACATTTTTCTGTACCAGACCTAGGGTAATGTTCCAATGACACGGAAGTCCTAAGTCTCTCTTTATATCCCACAAGACAATGGGAAATCATCCTAGACCCTAGCAATAATGCTAGACTAAGTCTTGGAGGATGTACAATGGCTAACGAGCAGTCTGGGAAGCATGAGAAAGAAATTTCTCCTACACTAACTGCTTCCAAAGATCTACAAATTAAGAGAACACATTTTGAGATTCTAAAGACAGTAATGAAGCATCCTAGCTAGTAGAAGTAGAACTCAAATTGGGAATTTAGAAACACAGAAACATAGGAAGGATTTAGCAGAGCATGATGGTGTAAACCTGTAATCCCAGCCTCGTGGTAGGCAGAGGTAGGAAGATTATGGCCTGAGGCCAGCCCTGGGAAAGTGAGACTCTACCTGAAAAATAAACAAAAAGCAAAAAGACCAGAGGGTATGGTTCAAATGGTAGGAAGATTGCCTAACAAGCATAAGACCCTGAGTTCAAAACCCAGTACTGCCAAAAAAAAGGGGGGGGGAGGAGTGTCATATATTATAAAAATTATCCTTTTTAATTTTTGCATAAGTCCTAAGAGCTCAACTAGACTTTGCGTTCCCTTTTACTTTATCATTTAGACCACCACACCAAGTTATTCTATAACAATTTGGTCTCACTTTAAACATAAAAAGCTCCCAATATCTGACTAATTCCAGTCAAGAACACTCCATTAGTCAGAGATGTAGTCCAGCATTCTTCATTTTCTACTCAGTTTTTCAAAGCACAACTCATCTACCTTTTAAGAGTACAGAGAATTCTCCACAGGTGTGGGGGATCTCCAAATTCCTCAGTGGAAGGTAACACAAAAATATTAGTAGCATGACACCAGTGAAACATTGTCATGAAGATTTTTCTTGTGAGTCACACAGTAAGAAATGAGTTACCTCTACCATCCAGAGAATTCTCCAGTTCATGCCCAGATCACTCTCCTGTCTGATTTACTGCAAAATGATTAGACAGATATGTTTCCAAAAACATAAACACCCCCACCTGGAAACTAAGCTGTTTTCAAGTTGGCAAAAAGCCCCCAACAGATCTTCTTGGAGACTGGGAGGATTTTCAACTCCCAGGATAATAGGAAGATAAACTAAAAAAGATGTTATCTAGTCCAAGGCCAAGTCAGGAGCTAGTAACAACAACGATAATAATTAAAATAAAACAGCAGATGAAAATGCACATTTGGAAAGAGGCCACCTTTATTTGTCCTGACTTAATTTGCTAAATAACCTGGACCCTCAATCTGAGGCCAACCCCTCCCCCCCCCCCCCCCACAACTACAACTTCACAATTCAGGAAGCTGAAGGGGCCTTGGGGAGGTCAATGCTTCAGGTAAGGAGACACACAAGGCCTGAATTCCCTGAGGAGGGAAGCTCTCTCCCACAGCCCGGAGAGGGAGACCACTGACATTTCCTAAAGCATCCCTCTGTCTCCTCTTCCATGTTTGAGCCTGGACCAGACTCACTTGGCCCTAGCAGAACTTGAGATGAATATAAGCCACCCTGTGAGGAACTGAGGAACGTGAATGAGACTCCAGGGAGAGTTGGTGGCTGAAAGAAATGGAAGGTCGCCACTTAATTACCTGACCACCCCACCAACTTCCCTCCTGTTAAGCAAAAGCCCCCACTTGGCCAGTTAAGGATGCTCTCGCATTAGGGTCTTTAAGCTTTGCCCAGCAGATGAGAGAAAGCAAAAGGAAAAGTCACAAGACATCACTAGTTTAGGAAAACTAAAGCCTGTCCCCAAAGGTCCCTGTATTCCAGAAATAGGAAGGCATGAGGGTGAGATTCCCTGGGAATCTGAACATTCTTTTATTACTCTCTCCCAGGGGGAAACAAATATAGAAGCCGTATCCCCCCCCCCCCAACGCCCCCCACGCCGGTCTGGCCCAGACCAGCCCTGCCCAAGAACGCACAAGAAGAGGCTTTTCCAAGGGCAAGGTGGGTAGTGGGCACACACACAGCCACCCGGCAGCTCTCAAGACCTGCAGCCCCAAAGAAAAACAGGTGCCGGCTGGGCACTGGACATCGCCCCCCCACCCTCCCCCCTCGCCAGCCCGCCCATTCGTGTTTAGCCAAGATCCGCCCAGGCCCAAGCTCGCTCAGCTGTGCACTGGGCTGAGCCCTTGGGCCGGGACGCCCGATCCCAACCCACACACCCCAGTCCGTTTAGGGGGTTGGAGGTGGAAGAAGGGCTCCAAGAATGCTCACCCAAGCTGGGGGGGGCGGTTTCTGGGAGGCCACCCAGCCATCCCAGGCACCCCCTCTCCAGCAAGCCCCCCAAGCTCCGTGGCGCCTGAGCGAGGGGACCTAATAAGTTGCCTCTTTATCCTCGGGGGCACTGCAGGATTTCCGCGAGCATACGTGGGGACCCCCTCCTCGACCCTAGACAGCAATTCCTAGCAGGGAAGTGGGGAGCGGGGGATGGATCCGATGCACCCTCGCCTACAGGTGAGAAGTCAGGCTATGCCCCGTGGCCACCCCTGCCGTCAGCTTCCACGAGGGCTGCCTGACCCACCACCGTCTCTGTCGCCCCCACTTGGGCCTACGTTCCCCAGGCGGGATCAGCTCATCTGAATCCCAGCAACTAGCCCTAGCCCTCCCGGCGAGCCCCTCGCCTCACCTTTGTACCGCTCCATCGTGGTGCCCCGCCGTGCGCTCCCACAGCTCCGTCCCTCGGCGCTGCGCTGCGCGCTGGGCTGCGCGCTCTGCGCTCGGCTGGGCGCCCGGCCGGCCGCGCTGGCCCCTCCCCGTGAGATCACACTCGCTGCTGGACCTCCCGAAGTGGCCGCCGCCCCCCCTCCAGCCCCCCGGACCCGATCCCCACCGGGCTGCGCTGCTCCTGGGACACACAGCGCCCCAATCCGGGCGCTCCCCAGTCCGGGCTCCCCGCCCCGGCCGCCCAGCTCTTTCTTCCAGTCCGGCCTGCCCTGAGCGGCAGGAGGGAAGGAGGCTGGCTGGGACTGTGCCCAAACCCTGGGGAAGGCTCCGGGAGGAGCCGAGCCGGGCCCCCCGTAGGTCTTCCCAATCTGTTTTCCCAGCTGCGGGGGCTTCAAACCCAATGCCAGGAGGAGGAGACCGAGGTCGAGCCTGGAGGCGGAGATGGGCCGACAGCGCCTCCTGCTTGACCCCGAAGCCTGTGCAAGTTTGCCCCGGGCCGTAGGAGGTAGGAGGTGAGAGGTAGGAGGGGGAGGGGGAGGTAGGAGGTAGGAGGTGGGGTCCACAGCTCTCCCTAGCGCCTGGTGGGTGTGTCTGTGTGAGGAGGGTGTTTTGTGGGGATTACCACCAATCCACAGATCTGTCGCCCAAGAAAACAATTCTTTGTTGCCTTCCACCTGCTCCCGGGGCGCCTGTACTCCAGGTCTAGGGCCTCTTCAATATGTCACTGTGTGGGGAGGGGGCCTGCAATTCGGGGGGGGGGGTGCGTCCTGCATCTGATCCCCACTGAAGAGGTAGCTCCGATTCTAAGGGAAAGTTAATTCCATCGTGGCTCGGCGCCTTCACCACACACGGGCATCTTTCCCTTTAACGCATGGAAACTCCCAGAGAGATTCACGTGTGCCTTGAAACTTTTGTTGTTTTCAACTTTCAAAATAGCGCTTGTGCCAGATGCCTAATTTCTTGACAAGTTTCCCAATGTCCTGGAAGGGACACTTCAGAAAGATTGGTTGTTATTTTCTAAAAGACTTTTGGAGACTTTCTGTCCCCGCAGCCTGGAAATGCTTTTCCTACTTACAGCAGCTGCAACGGTGGCTGGAGTTCACCAGTCCTGCGCCCAGCCAAGCCCACCCAGCTCCGCCTTCCATTCCCTCACCCACACTGGGATGTGGGCATTGTGACTGTCATCCCATAGTTAAAAGAAACAGCTTAAAGAGGCAAACCTCATGTCCAAGGTGGCCCAGTAAGCAAAGAGCAGAGCAGGCATTACATCAGGGCTGTCTGCTTCTAAGCTTTCTCAGTGTTTATAGGAAGGGCCAGGCTGTTTGTCACCACTGTAGCACACTGACAGGTGACACATGACAGCACAGGCAGTACCTCTGAAAAGAGAGAAGGGGGAGGGGCTCTAGGAATTCAGCATGAGAGGAGACCCCTCTCTGGTGAAATCAGCTTGGAGAAGCCTAACAAACCCAAGGACAGGTACTCACTTAGCTGAGTGAAAGGACACAGTGGAGATGGAGTGAAGGCAGCCCTCTAGAAGGAAAAAACTATATATATATATACATTATATATATATACCTCTATACATACACACATACATGTATATATGTACATATGCATACATAAACAAATAGTGGTGTTTCTAAAGCTGGTAGGCAGAAGCCAGGAGTGAAGGAGGCTGAACACGGGAGAGGGGCGGGGTTAGGGAAGTGCGGGGGTGGGGAAGGGGCGGGGCTTTGAGGTCCCTCAGAGTCACAGTGATCTCATCACCCAAGAGGCAGAGCACCCAGGAGGCCCAGGTGAGAGGTCAGGGTTGGTGAACTACCCAGGTGGGGGAAGAGAGGTCCTGTGACAGGAATGTTCAGGAAGTTGGCCCTGAAGCTGGGGTGTGAGGGTGAAGTGCTGGTCCTGCCCTTTGTAGCAACTTGGGTTATCAGGTAGGCAATGTCACCCAGTCCTCAAATATTACCTGGTGCTGTTACCTGCCAGTTGAGAGCAGGTACTGCAGAGAGAGGAAGAGGATGTGGACAAGGCCCTGCACTCAGGAGGCTGCTCACTGATCAGGCAATCTAGTTGGGGTGTGGGGGAATTCAGGGGGGCTGGGGGAGGGAAGGAGTACAGGTAAAGGATCCACAGCTCATCCCTGTGACTAAAAGCCCTGCTGGGTTAGAGCACCGAGGACCTCAGCCACTCTTCCAGGCACGCCCAGCTCACGAGAGCTTCACAAACAGAAAAAAAAGAAAAAGAAAAAATGGAGCTTAGGGCAAGAGTGATGACATCTTAAGGAATTAGAGGAAAGGAACTCCTGTTCACTTGCTGTCATGGAAGCTGGAACACAGTCAGGGAAGAGGGTGCTCCGGCTGTTTAATGTTTTCTTCTTCCCTCCTGTCCTCCTCTTGTCAGGGGCTCAGCATGGCTTGAGACGTATTTCAGGAGAGCATCACCTTTGAGATGATCATAATGGATATGATTGTAACGCTCATCTTTTGGAAAGAAACCTGAGTGATCCGGTTTCCACTAGGCCAGAGCCTACGTGAACCAGTTTTCACACAGAGGCTGACAGAGAGCTGACACGGACACTGACAGGCATCCATCTGTCCCTAAGATGGAGGGAGACATCTCCATTTGACATAGGAGGATACAGAATTTAAGAGACTCTCTTTCAAAGTTGGAACACAAAAGGACTCAGGTCCACCAACTCCAAATTCTACATATCGTCACATTCTTCAATTCAGACTTTCTATGGCCCTCACTGGAGAATGCTGTCCCGCAGCAAGTCCTCCAGTATCCATCTCTTTAAACCTGTGTCCAAACCACAGCCCTTCTGCACACACTGGGGCAGCTGTATGTCTTGCCTGCCTCCGACTTCCCCCACTGGCTCCAGTCTACTTAATTACTACTTTTCCTCAGATCCTCTCTAGACAAACAAAAATCAATCCGAAGTATATGCTGAGTGAACTGGAAATTGGAATTCACCATCCTTTCCACAAATAAAACTTCAATAATACTTAAAACCATCCATAGGAATTTCAGCACTGATTCTCTCCCTGTCAGCATGTGGGTAGGGTTTAACTTCTGGTCTTTGGTGGCTTTGCCACTTTCACAAAGGAGATGGAATGGGGGGGGGGACACTCACATTCAAATTCAAACCCATTGAGTTTCTAGCCAGGACATCTGATTTCTAGTTTATTCTCAACCTATTGTTATACGCAGAAGATATGCCCCGAGAGCTCCAATGGAGTCACGAGGCCATAAACAATACAGAATCCTGTACATAAGCACTGTGGTTCTATCACATTCAATCTGATAACCAGCAAAGCTACTAAGTGACTACCAGGAGGGTAGCATATATACCATGGATACACTAAACCAAGGAATGGTGGACAGAGCAAAGCAGTGTGAGATTTCATCCTGCTACTCAACACGGCATGAGATTTAAGGCTTAGAAGTTGTTCGGTTTTATAATTTTGCCATCAAATCCAGGTTAACTGCAGGGGTGGGGGACGGGGGGGGGGGGGAGGGGGAGATACTCATGAATCAACCAATCAGATTTAAGAAATGTTACCATTTTTCTATATTGATTTCCGAGTCTTCAAAAGGGAAAGGTATGCTCACAAGGCTTGGTAAAACTTAAAAGGGAAAACAGGTTCCTCAAAAGTTACACACCGGAACTACTACATGACGCAACAATTTCACTTGATGTACATCCAAAACAACGTGAGAGGAGACTCAAGCAGCGAGGAAATGAGAGGGGTCCCCTCACCCCATATCTGCCTCTTCACTTTTAACAGTAGCACTTCCCCACAGTGACTGAAGAACATTGGCCGGGGTTCCAACCCTCCTATAGCTCTACATCTAGGGAAACTGAGGCCTGAAGCTACAAGTGCACATGACATACCTAGCTGATAGAGTATCTCTAAAACAGGCTTTGTTTTTAACAATACGTACTTGGTTTAAAGCAAGCAAAGGCAGAGAGGGAGAGAAGTAGAAGGAGGCAAAGATGGAAGCCAGGCTGGTGGACTCTGTGGTCTGTGACATGTCAGTGCCAATCTCTAGACCCAGGGTCTCTCCCCTACACACACACACACACACACACATCTGGCCAGATGTTGAGTAACACAAAATAGGAGATCACAGACCAAAAAACTAGGATGAGCGTGGTGGCTTCTGGCTGTCTCAAGGACATTTTCAGCTCAGGAAAATGCCCCTAGTCTACTGGTGATTCTGTTTAGGTAAGGTGACTATTTAGTTTTACAAATTTCACCACCAGATTGGTAGAGGAAATGAAAAGTGATTCTCTTTATCCTTCATAGATGGAGACCAAAGACCTATGCCACTGGGTAGAGGCCACTTCAATTCCTACCCCTTATTTCATATGGAGGCCCATGATCCCTAAAACTCACCTTTTCCCAAGCTGCCCCCTAGGGCAAGGGCTCAGTGCCTGAGCCCAGGTCTCCTTTCTGTGGCCCTGGTGTCCTTGGCCCTTGAGACCACAGCTAGCCAGGACTCCTACTATACCAAGCTTCATCCTCCTCCCTCACAGCTCTGTGTGGATCTGTGGGGACCAGGCGAGACCCACTCGGTCCTCTCCCATTCTGGTCCTGTAGATGACCCTCACATCAAGATGCCACATTACCACCCTTCAGAAGAAGCAAGATACTCCTTCCCATTCTGAAACCATGCATCTAAAACCTAGCTAAATCCTCTTAGTTAACAGGAGTCACAAACTCTCAACAGAGCCTCCACCATCTTGGTGCTAAGAAGCAAAAGGACAAATGCTGTAGCATTCATCCTGCCACAATCAAATGTTCTGTAACTCCATTCTTTACTTGTCTTTTTCTCTCGCTGCGACCCTTGGGCCTTGGCTAACACCTGTTCCTGCCTGCCCATCTCCAGGTTCTTTGTCTCTCATGCTTTTCTGTGATTTCTCACTTCTGTAAAGAACATTTCAGAGCTGATTAGAAACTGAATCATTGTCAAATTCAACCTTAGGTCCTGATATTAAGCATGCAGGAACTCAATGCTGGTGGGTGGTACAAT